TGATATCACCACTACAGCCCCTGACTTTTTCTTCATAGAGACCAATGTACAGTATTTCTCATTTTCAACCATTTTAACAAAAATTCAAATACATTTTAATCTTTTGAAAAGTACAAATGGAAGTTAAAGGTTTAATCTACAGTAGGGCAACCTCATCATCAGTGAGCCATGGGCGTTCATTACCCTGTCTCCAGTTCACCATTTGTTCTTCCTTAGACACTGTTGGTAGGTACTAACCACTGCAGACCAAGAACACCCACCAAGACCTGCAGTGTGGGAGATGCTCTGACCCAGTCATCTCACATCACAGTTTAGCCCTTGTCAAAGTCACTCAGATCCTTATGCTTGTCCAGTTTTCCAACACATCGACTTCAAGGACTGAATGTTCACTTTGCTGCCTAATGTACCCCACACACTGACAGGTGCCACTGTAACAGTCAGTGTTATTCACTTCACCTGCCAGTGGTCATAATGTTATGCCTGATCAGTGTATATGTCATTTTAAGAATTTCTAACCAGGCAGTTGAACTTTCCTATGGAAATGCGAGGTCCAAATCATCTTATCTCTGAAAACACCTGGAGGGAATCTTTAAATTAGACCCACTTTATCACTGAAGTGATAATTATAATCCAAAAATATTCAGCAATGGGCCATTCTGGATAATGAGCACTTTTACATTAGCTGCTAGTACTTCATACTTTTACACAAGTATTAATGTAAGTAAAATTTTGAATCCACGACTCTTGCCTGCAACACTGTGGTATTGCTATTTTTGTTTAAGTAAAAGACAGGAGTACTACTTCCACCACTGGTTGTACAACCAGATGAGGATAGTGTTCAGGGATGCTTTGTGTTAAGGGTAGGTTTGCTTATTGTGGGGCTCTGAAGATTTATGATGGCATAACCTGACACCCACCTCTTTGAGGCCAAATAATGGATAAACATCACTGAACTCGTATACTGAGCTCCCATATGAATGCTCTCCCATTCTTTGGCACATTTAACTGCGTATTATTGACAGGAGTACAAAACAATACTGGAGAGATATCTCTCACTCTATCTATGCTTTGTAAGTTTACCCAAAAAAAAGTGTCAGCTTTGAAATTTAGAAATTTGTTTTCATGTCAGTTAACTGTGATAAATAAATGTCCATTTGATTCTCTCCAGGGTTAATAACCACAGCTGGGTTTTGGATGCTGTTTGTGCCAGCTGCTGAAGTCCAGCACGTCCAGTTTGGTTCGACAGTTACTCTGGGCTGTAACATCTCCTACCTTTATGATACGACATGGCTTAAGCAGAATCTCACTGAAACACCAATGGTGGTGCTCTGTGCCAGCCTCAGAGAGGGGCAACCAGTTCCAGGTAGAACATGATTGCAGTTTTTGGTTTGGTTTGGTCTAGTTTTAACAAATATGGAAACATGAAAAACAGCTCAAAACTCACCTGAACTGAGGCTGTGGAGAGAAATGCAGAAGTAATCTGCACATTCATTTACACAATTTAAATGGGAAATTTGTTTTGAAACTGGGGTAACAAACAATAAAAACTGGGTCACAAACCAGAAAAAAATGATATATTTGACTTCTTTAAAGATGAAGTTGAGTTTTCAGGAGCACTTCATACATGTTGTGTCAGGTTGAGCTTGTAAAAACACTTAATTTAGCATGTTGGATATTGCTTGATATGCCTTCAACTGACTATACTGCAACATTTTTCTTAGTGTTTCAGATCAGCCCTCGTTTTTCAGTGGAGTTGAGGAATCGATCTTTGGCTTTGAGAATCAGTAGCGTGGAAGCCAAAGATCTGGGGCTGTACTACTGCATTGCCGATGTAAACGCACGACTGACAGTTGGGAGAGGAACCATGCTTCAAAGTAAGACCATATGCACAGTTGTCAGGTTTATCTTTATCAAGGTAAAGCCATCTTACATGATATATTTGAAAAAGGAAATCAGTTTTTTCATGCACATTTGCCTGTTGGAAGTATATGGCTTTCCTGAAAGGATTGTTCTATTGTATTTCCTATAAATGTGGCTGTTGTGGTAGGTTGAGCTGACCTTGTACTTGCCACTTCCACTGTAGAGAGTAAGAGAAACAAATGTGGTTGAAGTCTGGACTTTGGTGGGGCCACTCAGGGATGGTCAGAGACTTGTAAATGGTCTTATACTTGTATAGCACCTTTCTATGCTTTTACAGCACACTCAAAACCCATTCGCACTCCCAAGCACTCACACACCGGGAGCAACTGGGGGTTCAGCGTCTTGCTCAAGGACACCTCGACACGTTGACTGGACAAGCCGGGAATCGAACCGCTAATCCTCCGGTTAGGAAACAACCCGCTCTAGCTCCTGAGCCACAGCTGCCCCCGTAGCCACTCAGGTGTTGTCTTGGCTGTATGCTTCAGGTCACTGTCATACTCAAAGGTGAACTGTCGCCCCAGTCTCAGTTTTTCTTCCAGGACCTCTCTGTGTTTGGCTGCATTCATCCTTCCCTTTGTTCTGACCAGTCTCCCTGTCCCTGCTGCTACCACCATGCGTACAAGATGATGAGCAATGCCTGGTGTGCACCAGACATAGTGCTTGTGTGTGATGTCACCATCAACCCCCCCAGTCATGTCCTAACACACACAAAGTCCACCGCAATGAAAGACATATCACAACATATAGTACAATATAATCAGAGATGGGAAAAATATGATCATATGAGGATACTTGACAGTTTGATTTTAATAAATGCAGCTTTTACAAACAAACAATTACAAGTAATTTTAGCTACAACATCATATTCTTTTGTTGTATTTCTTCCATTTCATCTCCAGGTCCCTCTCAGTTTCTGTTTCTGCACTGGTACTGCGTGGTTGTGGGCTTCGGTCTAGTGATTATGGTGCTGGCTGTTTGCATTACCCACTGGAAAGCCAAGTCAGACACAAGGACCACCAACAAGACCTCGACTGCTAACTGCACCCCAAAAGACCAACCCTTTCCAATAAATAAACAAAAACAAACAGCAGCCATTAATGTAATAAACCTAAAATGTAACAATCATTTTAACTTGCCATAACAGGAGAAGCACATAAACTAATAACTTTTATTAAGGCCCTGAAATTGTCACACTTAATGGAATGCAGCCTTGGTGCTTTTCATGCCTGTCATGTAAACGATGCAGTGTAAAGTTAGAGCAAAAGTCAGCATAGGGACAGGCAGGTAGTAGTTATGATTAAAGTTTTGATTTGATTTGATTTATTTATTCTTTCAAACATGTAACAACAGTCAGTATGTAATCACACATAATTCCAGACATGTCCACACAAATATTTTCAATTTACTTATACCTAGTACATGCTTGAACGGAGTAGGAAGAAGTTAGACTTATCTAGTCCTACCCCCTAACATCATCTTACCATCATTGGTTTGCAAGCAGTATTACTACATGGATACATATTCTACTTCCACATTCCCGTCTGATTAATCATTAAGCCTGTTCTTGCATATATCTTGATTGACACATACCTTTATATCTGTGTTTAAACTCATCAATATTCTTACTGCTTTTTATGTCCACACTTAAATTATTCCATGGATTTACTCCACTTATCGAAATACAGAATCTTTTTTTGGTTGTACGTATAGCATGAATTTTATAATTTAACTGACCCCTTAGATTGTATCCCCCTTCCCTTTCATCAAATAGTTTTTGAATACCACCAGGTAATAAATCTTTCCTGGCTTTATACATAAACACAGCAGTCTTGTGACCCACTAAGTCAAAAAATGTTAACAATTTAGACTGTTAAAATTTTTAAGCAACCAGCAATCTAAATTTTTAAAAGTTAGGGTAAGTCTTCCAGAAATTAATGTAAATCTATGTAGCAACCCAGTAAGTGACAAAAACAAGGATACTGTATATGAGTGTGTGTGTAGAGAAGGGCATTGGAGAGATCCTGATCTCATAATTATGACAAAAGGTGTCACACCTGTGAGTAATTCAAATAAAATCTACGTAATACAGTGACAGTTGTCAGTACATCCAATAATGCATAGCAAAAGTGAACTGTTAATATCTAATTTGGCATACTAACTAAGATGAACATGTACTGACAGCTTTCACTGAAGGAATTCATTAAAAATCTGGATATTTTCAGGGAAGCTCAGGCATTCCAACCCCTGCATGATCTCATAATTACGACACAAAGATCTTATCTAATTACAGGATCTCACAATTGTGAGATAGTAAGTGATAAATACAAGATAAGACCCTTTTTATCTTCACTGAATGCAATGCACTTCTTTATGTGTGTGTGTGTGCTTGTATTTTATATCTGTGGAGTGAATGCAGGATTATTCACTTTTTGCTAGGGTGGATTTTTGTTGTTGTATTTGTCTTTTCTTTGCACTTGTATTTTATTTATCATAGTTTTCTGTACAAAGTACTTGTTGCTATATTCCCTTTAATGTAAAGTACTTATGATAGTTATATCAATGTATATTATGAATAGAAATGTATAGGAAGCTTATGTACAAAGTGCAAACTGAATAGAGATGAGGGGGTTTTTGTGTGTTTTGGGAAATGTGTAGATGTGTGCATCTTCATAAACAAACCAGGACAAATATTTGGTTGTTTTCATTTTTATGCATTAACTTACTGTAGTCCACTGCACTAAAGCCATAAAGGCTTCCAATCTCTAAATAGGTAGCAGCCCAGGGGGGGGGTCGGTCCATTTTGTTAATGCTGTTCTGGCTTGAAAATGTCAGGTAGGACTTGAGGTATTGTCATTGCCGAAAACATAGCAAATTTGTCAGCATTTTTTGTTCTCCTGTCGAGATGTGTTTCCCCTGTTCAAAACCCAGTTTCACGTAGCACTTCCCTCAATGGTTGTGGTTAGGATAATGTTAGGAGTGGCTTCGTGAGTTGGTGATATCCAGCAATGCCTGTCTGTTGTATGTTAGCAGTGCATGACATTTGTGCACCACAGTAAAAGCAAAAAACACACAAAAAAGAAGAAAACGAAGAAAAAGCATTCGAGAGTGGAACACGCAGACACGTTCGCCTTGGTGGGCGCCACAGCAGCCCTGCAGTGAGCCTGTGCTGATTGTGAGCTCAGCAGACACCCGCCCTCCCAGTCTGACCACCTGTGGTCTTTCTGTCAGGAAGTCCAGAATCCAGTTACAGATGGGAGTCGGGACATCAAGGTTTGTCAGCTTCTCAATCAGCCTAACCAGGCGAATGGTGTTGAACGCAGAACTCTAATCCAGAAGAGCATCCTAGCATATGTACTGCTGTTGTCCAGGTGTTTCAGGGTGTGGAATAAAGCCAGAGCCACCGCACTGTCCACTGATCTGTTCGGGTGGCAGGCAAACTGGAAAGGGTCTACGGTGTCCGGGACTATGTGGTTAATGCGTGTGAGGACCAGTTTCTCTAAGCACTTCATGGCGACTGATGTGAGTGCCACTGGCCTGAAGTCATTCAGAGTGGATGTGTCTGACGTCTTAGGGACCGGTATGATGACAAATTTTTTGAAAATGCGAGGGACTACTGCTTGGGTTAAAGACAGGTTGAAGATGTCTGCATACACACTAGCTAGTTGATCCCCGCAGGCTTTCAGAACTCTAGGGGATACACGGTCTGGTCCACCTTATGGGGGTTCACCTGTTTCAGGGCCTTCAGACCCTGTGTGTGCGTTACCTGATAAGCAGTGTCCCCCGGGTCGCAGGGGGATTTTGAGGAGGTGTCTGCATTCAGCCTGTCAAACATAGCATAGACTTTATTAAGGCTGTCCGGGAGGGTGATGTCATAGGAGACTGTGATCATTGATTTGTTCCTGTAGTTTGTGACTGCCTGGATTCCCTGCCACATGCTGTGAGTCTTGTTATTCAGGTAACAGCTCTCCAGTTTTTGGAAGTATGCCCTCTTTGAAATTCTTTATGTAGTTATTATACTGTATTTATGTGGTATTATTTACTTGTATTTATTTGTGTAACTGAAGCACTAGCCAGCAGTGTTCTGTACAGATTTAATGTCGAAATTATTGTTTAAAAACAGAAGCCTTCAGCATTTTATCAGAATATGAAGTATGCTATACAATGTGTTTAAAGAAAAGAATAAATTATGTTAACTAGGCCCCAGCGAGATTTGAACTCGCGACCCCTGGTTTACAAGACCAGTGCTCTAACCACTGAGCTATGGAGCCCATGATGTCACCGTCTGTCAACATATACACCTAAATATTTGCTTCAGCTACATTATATTTCTATTATGGTGTTTTATATCGTCTTGTCCACAGTACACGATGGAATAAACGCCAGCTCACCACCATTGCCAAAAAATGGGAATAAGCAGATAAAGAGAGAGACTTAACAGCCTCTGCTGAGATGAAAACCTATACTGTTTTAAAATTACAGACACATCTCTTAATAATCATTCAAGACATATTGTATACCTCTCAAAAAACACCCGGTCGACACTTAATTTTCATGATTTCTACTATAAGAAAGAACGGCGTGATTTCTACTATAAGCTGTCCCAAAAATTTCATGTTGAGATTCCCTGTTCATCCACCAGGCGGCAGCATGTGGCCACCTTTTAAAAAGACAAGCGTCTGTGGGAAACTACTCAGCCGTCTTCTTGACTTTTAGAATTTTTCACACACATTCTACAATAATAGCAAGAAAAAAATAAGACAAATTTTAAATATAATTATGTCACACAGATTTAACCGTGTGTCTAAGCCGATGGTGCTGTCCTGGCATTAAATGTTTTGGGAGCCCCTCTTTCTATTGGTTGTCGGTCCTCGATCGCCATGGGGTTCTCTGGGCGTGGTGAGCGGCGGGGGCCGGGACTCTGGTGCCCTCTCGGTCCCTTATAGGTTTAGATCAGGTTTTTCCACAGCAAGGTAAACATGGGGGCGAAAAGATAGCATTAGGATAAACATGGAGTTTGTTTCAACGTGTCATGGACGTATCTTGTTCCTACCCATAACCTGCTGAATGGAATGCAGTTAATCTCGGTTGGATTTAGCTTTTTATTATAAAGAGAAAGGAGTGTTTCGCTCTGTGCGATCAGGAAGAGTACAGAGAGAGAACGAACGAGCCATGGTGGAGCCGAAACGACACATTTAATTCATGAAGAGGTCTGTGACGGTCCTGGATCTAACTTAGCTCCAAGTGTCTTGGACTAGGAGGGTGGACCTAGAAGTTCATATTAACAGGTGAATGTCTGATTCAGGACCATACCCTCTCTGTGCAGTGGTGAAAACGGCTATGTATGAATGAAAATCTAAAGAAATCGGTACATGTAAACTAACTGTGTTCAAAGACGGTGTCAGTACTATCTTGCAGCAGGAAGCCTTCCAGAATAACAGCAGCACTACAGACTTGAAATATGATACAGGCGTGAAATGAGTTCAGTCGCTACAAACTGTTAATAATAATAAACACATACAAGTGTTGCCTTGGGCCCATTGGGCAGTTCGATAGTTACATCTGTTTTCAGTACAAACCAGCAGTGTCGTTTTCCCTGGATCCAGACCGGTTGAACCCGTTCTGCTGTGACCTGGGACTGAGCCTGGTTACTGCTGAGGCTGCGCTGTTGGAAGCCACTACTTTCTACACTTCGCTACGCCCCAAACTACGGAAAACACACACACGTACACTCGCCGTCGCTTTCTACACCCTACCCAGCGTGGTTTTATCTCGCTCCCGATGCTGAAGCAACCCCCGTGAAGTTGTTTTTAAACGTATTTTCCCTTCCCTACATCGGAGTGATTTCCTCCACTGTCAGGAGTCCCGCAGAACGGAAAGGCCGTCGTAGGAAAAATCGATCCGCAGGAGAAACAATCAGTGTCTGGAGCAAGACCTAGCCTCCAGCAGCCACAACATTCAGGTCGCTTTATTGTCTCTTCACTTCGCGGATATTTTCACATCGTTTTACGGTGTCATAGCAAAGAGAGACGAGCGAGGACCGTGGTTTTCTTCTGCCCTTGGCCATGCGAGGAGCTCGGTGCTTCGTAGAAGAATGCGTCGCCGTCTCCCGGCGCTAGCTCAGGCGCGGCTCCATGTAAGAGACCGAAGCTGGCTTTGTTGTAGCTTTGGGGTGACATTACAGTCGGCCTGTATTAATGCGTCACGGGGGAGAAGGACCGCTAAGCGGTCAGAAAGATGAGAACTGTTAACAAAACAAAAAGACGTGTGCAGAGAGATGCTGCCGTGTTTGCTGTGAGGTTGGCCTCTGCTTCCAGCGGGCAGCCTGTATTTTGGCAAACACATCCTTCACTCAACTCCGAGGGGCTTGGCGATACTTTTGCTAACAGATAAGTGTTTTCTTGTTATTTCATGATTCATTTCTTCTCCAGGGCCAGTAGTAACAACATGCTCTTGGCCTCTGCTGTGGTGGTGTGGGAATGGCTGAACGAACATGGTCGGTGGCGGCCCTACAGCCCCCGCCGTCCCCCACCAGATAGAGGCGGCCATCCGGAGCAGCGCCCCCCGTGGAGGGAGCGTGGTCCTCGGCCAGGTGGACAGCCGGCTTTCGCCATACATCATAGATCTCCAGTCCATGCACCAGTTCCGACAGGACACAGGTAAGACAGGGAGAGTGCTGGGATTGATGGAGGCTGCGAAAGAATGTCACGTTTGGGCGTTTTATTCAGGATACAGGGCCATAAAAGTGACTTTGTACTATAGGAGAGTGCTATAACCGACTTTAAACGGGACTGCGACATCATTTGATGTCGTGCATTGCAGCTTGCTTCTTTGATATCTGCGTGTTGCTTGCACCCGACCTGTGGCCATGGCTTTTCAATAACTTGATGGCTCCAAAACACATAAATGTCTGTCTGCATTGGGCACTTCTGTACTTGGTAATGATGTAATCTCTTCTGCCTGGACCCGTCATGTAAGATGTACAATATGATTTGTGATTTTGTTCATTTGCATTGTTTGCATAGAATAGCACCTCTCATTCATCTACAAATGACGTGTCTGGTATTTCCAGACAGTGTGATTAGTCTCATCAACTCCTATACAGTATGTATAGCTACTGTATGTCTGTGTTGAGGTTTGACTTGTGTAGGTGGAGCTCAAAGCATAGGAAGGACTGTAACTCAGAGAGAAACTGCAAGAGGGTTTTTGTCAACAAAGTCAGTAAAGGTGGTGATTACCATAGGTTGACTTGTTGAAGACTCAGTCCATATTTGTTTTAACCCATTAAAACCGACCACCAATGGTGTAACATAGGTGTATGCCTTGTGCTGGATGTAAACAGAGCCATAAGGTCATCAGAAAACTTTGGAAATGTTTGTTTTAGTTTAGTCAGTGTGTTTGGTTCCATCGGTGTTTTAAATGGAGAATAAGTTTCTTTCTTTTCCTCGTCCGTACACAACAACAAAGAGAGACAGATTTTTCTTTGGGCCAAATGTAGGTAGCCTTTTTGATACTGTTCATACAGTGAAATAGGATTACAACCTAACATCTACTATAAAGTATGTCTTGTATGTTACAAGACCTCTGATTGGAGATGGCATCATGCCTACAAGCAGGATCAACAGCATCACATAGGATGGTGCAGTTCTGGGTAAAATAAGAATCACATTTTCTTTTTCACATTCAGAATTGAGATCAAGATTTTCTCTCATGATTCCTGAGCAATGCACTTCTTTCTCTTGTTACAAATGTTTGCATTAGATGAAGCCTTTATGAAGACAGAACAAACTGTTGTTACTGAAATGGGACCGTCTGAACTATGCAAAACAGACTTAAAGCTCTTGTCTACTCTTAATTACAACACCTTCAAACAGATGCTTTTCTGTGTGTGGTTTAAAAAAACTCTCTGATACTCTGTTTACATGTCTCCATCAGACAAAGTGTTGATCTGTTGATTTACTTGGTATAAATCTTGTTTCAATCTGGCCCTTTTTCAAGGTTACAACTGTCGTTTCTGTCACTCATACAGAGGGAGAGAGACAGTGTGGATGTGGTGGTTGTGTTGAGATCCAGCAGCTTGATGATCTGGAGCAGCTGTATATGACCACTGGATTAGCAGCATTCCTCAGCTCTTATCCACTATCACTACAGACATTCACATAGGCACACAGCAGCTGCATGCGAAGAGAAGAAACAGAAGGACCTTGATTCTGTGGAAAAAAACTAAATATCTCAAGACCTAATGAGCAGAGAGTTCACTTTATTTGTCCTCCCTCTGTAACTGTCCATGCTCTCTCTCCCCATCACTGCCTGGGATCTTTCACCTTTCCCCCTTCCTATCCCTCTCTTTTGTATGAGGGCTTAGATCCATCAATAGGCGAGTGTCCCGAGGGTCTTTCAGTTTTGGCTTTGACATGGGAAAGACAGAAAGATATGAGTGTGTGTGCGCTGGGAGTAGAAGAAGTGGGAGCGGTAGTTGCAGAGGGAGTGAGATCATCGGGGAGTCTGTTTTCTCTCCTTCACTTTCTGTGATTCTCTCTTTCACCATTGTTGGATTTTATTGAACAGACGTGAGTTACTCGATTGCGACTATGAGACACACACACACATACATACACACATGAAGTGAAAGTCTGAGGGCTTTGAGAAGCAGAGCAGACCTCAGAGACAGATGGCAGGGGTGGCTGGGTTTGGGGGTCACAGGTTGTTGCAGAGAGAGAGAGAGAGAGAGAGCGGTTGAAGACAAAGCTGGGCTCTGCTATTCCAGCATCATGTTCGAGCTAGTCCAGCTCTGTAGACGGAAGTTACAGTGAGGAAGCAGGCCATGTTGTTCCTGTTAAAGCACAAAGCAGCTGTTTAATTGTTTTGCCTTAAAACTGAGATTGATGGATTAAGGATTAAGATACAGTTGTGAGTAAAAGGTGTTAAAGAAATCTGCCAATTTAAAGATGTATTAAATAGATTTTTTTTAGGTGTCATGGTGTTTAACTAGAGTTTAGATTTTCACAGTATATCAATCAGGAGGTTTGTGATGCATTTACTGACCAAACAGATGACAGTAAACTCAACAAGTGGTTGACAGAAGCAGGTTATAAATAAGGAAAACTGATGATATAGCCACAAGCCTTTCTTCAGACATAAGATCAGAGAATGGCTAGTAGAACTTTTACAAAGATAAACAGCTAGATATTAGACTATAATTATCATGTAAAATGTGAAAAAGAGACTTAATGTCAGACTCTTTTGGACAGTTAAAAGTGGGATTTGGAACAGTAGGAATAAAATCACAATATGACACCTTGTTAACAGTATCGCACTATATTGAAATATATTGAATTGTAACCCCTGTATCGTGATATGTTTCGTATCATCATTTTCTTGCCAATACATCTCAATTTTTGAGTTTTATCATTTACAGCTGAAGTCTTACACATGTCAAAAGCTTAGAGTAGGTTCAGTAAAACATTCAAAATGACACAGTTTTAAAAAAAGACTTGATATCAGATGAAGATTCAAAAAAGTGCTGTCAAATATAGGGGGCGGCTGTGGCTGAGGAGGTAGAGCGGGTCGTTTCCTAACCGGAGGATTAGCAGTTCAATTCCCGGCTTGTACAGTCAACATGTCGAAGTGTCCTTGAGCAAGATACTGAACCCTCAATTGCTCCCTGTGATAACACCGGTGTGTGAATTTGTGAGTGTTTGTGAGTACGAATGGGTGAATGGCCAAGTAGTGTGAAAGCGCTTTGAGTGTGCTGTAAAAAGTATAAGACCATTTACTTTAAAGACCCACATGCCATTGTTTTTTGAGGCACATTTTTAAGACTATGGGCATCTTTTATAGCCTCAGCAGGATGCATTCCTAGACCCCCACAATGCCCTGGGGCATTAGGGTTATGGCAGAGGGGAGTGAGGGTTGGATGGGGGACTCCCTAGAGACAAAGGGAAGATGATGGAACCAAATATTTAGGCTGAATACAAACCAGGTTACGACAGTGTTACAGAACAGTTTTACATGCACTGCACTAACCTGCCCTTACATGAATATGTATGAGACGTTTGTGGACCGAGCATTGACAGGGCAGGCCCCGTAGTGACAAATGAAATTGATGTGAACTGTACAAAAAGCCAGTAGCTTGAATTCTGGGAGCTGATATTCTTCATTTTCAGTTTTAGTTATATCTTAGACTGAACATGGAGAGGAGGAGGAGGAGGAGGATGTGGCAATCTCTCTTGTTTTTGTATAAATGACTGATCAAAAAAGGTTGCTCAAGTGGCCCACGGGGATTTCACCCAGTGCTTCCGCTGTCCAGCCCGACTAGGCTGCAAACAGCTCAGTAAATACACATGCACTACTAGCTGGCTGACTAACTAACCAAATTCTTGGAAACTTACCGAGAGTAAAACTATTATGTGCACCATTGCAGAGTAGAGCACGTGTGGTAACCAAATTTGATATCATTTGGTTTGGTGTTAATGGACATGACAGCTAACATCTCTTGTTGCAGTCTAGACCATCATATAACTGTTAATGGGAGAATGAATTACTTATAGTGTGAAATATGGTATGATACTGAAGGAGACTTGGTGCCATGTGAACGTCAGGAGGCGGAGCTCCAGTGTGCTCCAGCCCATTTTAACCCCTGGTTGTACCTAAGAGCCGTTCTTTTTATCTTTGTGCCCAAATTTCACCGTCTGTGTTGTAAATCTGCTCTATCAACATAGAGAGCAAGTAACGGCAGACAGGCGAGCTAGTGTGCGAATGAAGAGAGGGAGTGGCACTGGTAAAACAAAGTAGCAGTTCAGAGAAATAACACCATATTTTCTGATTGTGCACAGTGGTTACGTTCTAAAGCACACAGACAGGGCCACACATGCACACAGCCCAGTGGGAAGGATTTGATATAATGAGATTACCCTTGTTAAATGTTGGTTAGATGAATAAAATAAAATACAATAATTTGTGGGTTGTAAAACCAAAGCAGTGAGCTTAAAGAGTAGGGCTGCGCTATAAACCATTTGATCGATTGATTCCTACCCCCATGCAATCTCATTCTTACATGGCAAAATATTTAGTGATGTTTGCATTAGCAGTGAAATCTATTGCATCAAACCAAGCTCTATAAGCTGTATCAACCAATGACAGGACTGCGTTAATACCACAGGACTGTACACAGAAAAGGAGGTTAAATGTGAAATATATGGTCATGTAGAATAGTCAGATATCGTCAGACCCCTATACACACACATACACATTTCCAGTTTCACATATGCAACACAGGTTTTTGAGTCTACATACCTGATTGCAGTTACAAAACCAGTACTTCCTGGAGGGAATTTTGGATGGATTTTTGTTTTGTCTTTGACTTTTTTCATTAAGGATATGGTCCCCTTCTTTCTTTGTCTTAAGGAATCACTTTTCTTTTCCTGGACATCCTCTGCTCCACCTCATCTGTCTCTTTTTCCTCCTCCATCACACTCTTTTCCTGCTTTTCTCACTGATTCTCTGAAGCTGAAATTTGAACCCAAAACTCAGGGGATGGGACTCTTTCAAGGTGAGACAAAGTAGAGCAAAGACAGAGACAGAATGAGAGGAGCAGGTGGCGCACCAAAGTCAGATGGGATGGTTTAAAAAAAGTGGAGAGGGCGACAGCAAGGGAGAA